AAAAAAAAACAAAAACCAAACAAACAAACCCAACCAAACCCACTCTGGCTGCTATATGCTGGGCCTGAGTAGAACAGGAAAACAATTATAAATTTACAGAGTAGATGGAGGGTTCTTTTCAAGAAGTTGAAAGCAAAAGAAATTGAAAGTGGAAGTCTAAAAACTCAGTGTACAGGTAAAACATCTGAAATACTGTCCTGTGGATTATATTTAGTAAAGGGGTTTCCAGCTATGTGGTTATGGTAGAGTTAAATGACTTGTGTGGCGTTGAGAGCCACGAGTTGATCATGAATGAGTGCCAGTGAAAGGAAATATGCATGACAGCTGTTTGTTCGGTTTGCGAAGCTAGATACCTTTCTTGATTCACTCTGGAAATAGAATGACCCAGAAATTATATGTGCAATAATAAACCTGTTATGTAGCAGGCTGTTCAGGCAGAAGATGGCTTAGCCCTCCCCTATTTTATACTAGCTCTGAGTTTACAGAGGAAATGTAAGAAATCAAGTTGATAGCATTGGAGACCCGACCTTTATTATAAAGAATTTTAATGGCTGTGGTTATCAGTCTGACTTGCCCGAATGTCTATACAGTGATGCTAATTCCTGTGCATGATTCTGGGTATTAAGGTTTAAAATAAAGCATGGGGTGTTTTGTTGTGGGGGTTTTGATTCAGTCTTTTATTACAAAAATAATCGGGTGGGTTTCTACACCTATAGCTGCAGCCCCTGACCTCCAGATGTAGAAATAAAAGCCACTTTATGTGCATTATTTTGTATCCCCACCCAACAAAATGTAGTCACCCCTGGGTTAACACAGGGCTGCTGTTTGAACAGCACTCAGTAAAGGCAAGAAAACTAGCACAGTGTGACAGTTTTAGTTTTGGAGATACCGGTTTGGGGTACTAGGGTAAAAGTATTCAGTCATGTCATTATTGGTAGCTTGTATATTTAAGTACGTGAACTCTCAGTTTCAAAAGAAGTTTGTGTCCCCAAGGATTCAAAACCAGTTTTGGTCTTCTGCCTTATCCCCGCTTTTTGTCTCCAAGATGAAGTGCACAGTTAAAAACGGAAAGGGGTTGATCTAAACTGTAAAACCTAACTAGTAAAAGACAGCTGACAGTAAATTTTACTACCATCCACAAAAAAAACCCAACCCAACAAAAAACAAACCCCAAAACATTTAGCACATGGTTATGGGCCAGACCTTCAAAAGAGGTCTGAATGCACCTCCCAGTATCACACTTATAGCCTGATCAGGCTATAAAAAAATCAATGCAATAAGCTCTGAAGGTACTGCAGTAATATGTATGACTCTGTTAAGCAATCTCTCTCTCTTTTTTTTTTTTTTTTTTTTTTTCTGAATTGCAATTTACTAGTGTGAAGAATGGTCCAGAGCTGCTGTCCTTTCAGGACTAATAATTTTTTCTGAACTCAAACTATGACACTAACACCCACATTCAGGGTTTTGCATAATAGCTGCCAGTCGGTTTCCAAATACCATCTGTCTTTTTTAGGGAACAAACATTTAATATATACACAAACATTTGTAAACAAGATTTGGACTGGTTTCGAATAGCTTCTATTTAATAAATCTATTGGGCATTCTGCCTATAGTTGTTTTTTATGCAGACTCCCCCTTTTATTGGTGTTATTATATAGCCTTCAGTAAAAGGGTTTTTCGGAACATGTGGTTTTATATTTGAGTACAAGATTATCCAACTGACAGCCCCTGAAGGGGTAAAGGCTCTGGGCTCCTGGTCTGGGTGCCACTCCCCTCTTTGCTTTCTTGCTGCTGCTGCTGCCAGAGTCCTCTAGTTTTTCCCTCCCTCCTCAAAACTTCTACAGCCTGCCACCACTCCTGGCAGTGGGGGAGCCCATGGATGCCGGGGCTGGAGTGGCTGCCCTTCACACTGCATCTGCGCATGGAGGGGGCCTACGCGATGCAGCATATCCATGCAGTGGGGTGCAGGGCATGTCGGGGTCTGGTGCAGGGGTGGGGGTGCATGATGTGGCAGGTGGCAATGCAGTGCAGCAGGGATAGGGAGGTAAATACCATTTAAAAAAATATCCGTTTAACCTCCTCCAATTATATCGTTTAATTGGTTAACCAATAGCTCATACCTAGTTTAGTGACCTCTGGCAGGAATGGCCCCAGCCCCTTGATATCTTCACCATGTGCCTGGCAGTGTGCAGGCCCCAGGCTGCTGGCAACAAGCGTGGTCAAGCCAGTAGTCATACTGTGGAGCCGTGGCTTCTCCTTGTCCCCCCAGGCAGGGGCTGGGGACCTCCTGGGGTCTGCCATGCCACTGAACTGGCCACCAGCTGCCAAGACCATGTGGACCCGACTGTGTACCAGGGTCCCCACACTAACCATGCCATGTGCAGGCTTCCATGGGGAAGCCCTGAAAAGAGAAGGCTGATGGATGTCATCCTCAACTTCGAGGGACCTCTTGGGACTGGATCCTGCTGCCATAGGGAGGGAGGTGCCAGGCCCCCCACAGGGATGTGGCAGGGTCTTCCCGCTACAGCAGTGAAACTCCTGGCCATAGGGTGGGTCTGCCTGGCTCACTGCAGCCTGGGCACGGTGATGGGCTCCATGCATCTCCTGCCATGCTTGTGCAGCCATGGCCCACCATAGGACCAGGCATCTCATTGCTGTGGCAGAAAGGGCCCACCTGACCCCTGTGGGTGGCCCAGCATCTCCCTTCCCATGGCAGCAGGACCCAGGCATGTGGTGGGGGTGAGGGGAAGCTGCGACTCTGCAGCCGGGCAGTGCATCCTAGTGGCTCAGGCAAGCCCGCTGCCTGCCAGGGGCCTGAGGCCCATGCAGTGTCAGGAGCACAGTGAGGGCAAGAGGGGCTGGGGCTGTTCCTGCTAGAGGTCACTAAATGTTAAGTGGTGGAAATATAATTATTGTTTAACCATTTAACTATTTACATCCCTAACTGGGGGGTGGGGCAGAGAGGTGGGAATTTGCATGATGTGCCTTGGAGCAGTGTATGGCCCACGCGGTATGTGGCTGGGGAGCGTGTGACCCCCCCCAGCCACTCAGAAATTGGGCAGCCCCGCTTCAGCACATGCCAGTATGTCCTGTTTTCTTATGAAGTCTGCTTGCTCAGTGCCTACAGCATGACTTCACTGCATGGGTTTGTTTTACCTGGATCCTTTAGGGCTTGAGAAGTATGGCAGCTCTTTAGCTCTTTTGCAAACACCTTGGGGAATTGCCACAGCAAAAATATCTGTAAATCTTCTTAGGCAGCAGCCACTGCAGTCCAAAAAATGGCAACTCAGTTTTCTGCTTTCAGTGACGTTGGGAATCCATAGCCTCTATGCAAAGGGGGACATAATTGAAACACCACCTTTGTAGCAGGTGTGGGTCTAGCTTTTTCAGGGTTAGCCACTGAGTCCAGACGACTGTCTTCTGCTCTTTCATTTTATAGTGTTCCCCCTTTGAGGTCGGATGGCCTCTGCTCTCAGATGGTGAATGAATGTGTAGAAGCAGCAGGGCTCATTTTGAAGTTGTGCAGAGGATGGCTGTCTAAGCTATCTTGTAGCTTGTGTACTCTGCGCCTCTTGATGTACAAGCCTTTCTAATTAAGTTGGTCTGTCTTCTACTGTGCACATATGCTGAATCCAGAGGATTCAGCTAAAATCTGTCTCCTTCCCATGGCTTTGTTTTTTATTTTAATGCCAAATCCAAATTCTTCACTGCAAGCTTGGGAGCTGAACTTTTGAATATATGTGAAAGGTTTTATCTTAACCTTAGCATCAGGCTTGAAACCCTTTAAACTCCCTCAAGACAGTTTCAAATCTTAGTGAAGTTGATTCATCCCTTCACCTTTCTGAGGTAAATCTGTACAATAAGTAACTTTTGGCATTGGAGCTTTGCAGAATCAAATTTAAGTTTTCTCTGTTGCTTAGGCACTGTTAAATCACACAGGACTTGGTGCTCTTGCACACAGCTTTCTACTTTTAGCTTGCCCTGTGCCACCTCCTTCAGCTTGCCCTCCATCCTTTCCATGCCTGAAGCAGTTAGTTTGCTTCAATAGTGCTGTATCTGTAGTTGAAGGTGCTTGAGGATCTTTGACATGCAAATATACCAAATTTGCTTTTACTAGAAAGGGCTTTTATTGGAATCTGGCATTGAGAAGGCTTTGCAGAGAGCCCATAGTCTCTTGGGGGGAATGCCATGTCTTCAGCTTGCATCATGCCCAGGTTTGCATATAATCCAGGTGGAATGGCTTGGTGCATTCTTTTATCCTTAATTACTAATTAACATCTTATATTTTGACTTGGCGTATTGTTGTATTGCTTAATTGTTAAAATAGCTGAAAAATGCAAACTGCAAGCTTTTTGTTTGTGTACTCAGCATGCATTTCTCGTAGAGGCATTTATGCAGCAATTTTGTTGGCAAAAACCCTTACTTAACTCTTTTTCTTTCTAAATTGGAATTGTGTATTGCAGTAACATCTAAAGGTCCTACCAGAATCCTGTTGTATTAAATGCTATAAAACACACAGTAAGAACCAGTCCCTGTCCTGAAAAGATTACAGTTGTTACCAAACAAACAAACCAGTTGATTAACCTGCTGTGACATTGGCTTGGTACAGGTATTAGGGAGTTGCAGCAAAAAAGACAAAAGGCTGGATAGTGGTGAAGGATGAACCGTCTCTGGATGGGGTCGTTCTAAATCAAGATTAAGGCATGTCTACAGGGCAGTTCTAGCAAGAACTAACATTGCAGCTACTTGTGCTATACCTCCTTTGCAAATAGATTCAAAACAGTCTTTCTGGCAACTTCAGGAAGCAGCCAGAAAGCAAACAAAATGTTGACCCCTTTCACGCTGTACATAGAGGGACGTCTATGCCCAGTAGGCAGTTGAAAGGAGTAGCTCACACTCTGCAAGTCTCCCTGTAGCCTGGAAGCCCCCCTTCACTCCCCATAAACGATTAAATGACTGAGTCTTATTTGATGTATATAATATGCATTTGGTTCCCATGTTGTAAACCAAACTTTGCATGTTGTGGAAGATAACTTCCTTTGTCAAATCAGAGGTAAAGTGGTAGTCTTTGGGAGGAACTGCAAGTATGGCCCAGCCTGTTGCAGATGGGATTCAAATGCATTGCTAATGTGTGACTTGAAGCCGAACTAGTGCAGTCTTCTGGATGTGAAAAGACTCTCTCGGAGGGAACCTGTGTGGTTCAAGGGCTCTTCACCTAGATTAGGCTGTTTGGACCTGACTCTTTCTGTTTGGGTAGATTTCTTTAAAAGCCGTACTTCCTAATACTGCTGGGTTTTTGGTTGTAGCCGTGTTGGTCTAAGGACATAGTACTTCCTAATATGCGTTCCAAGTTGCCTTGGATATAAGTGGGAACAATATAATTTAGGGTGTCAAGTTAAATTGCTCTCCAGCTTTGATTTACCTTTTTAAGGCTATAATGTTCTTCCTCTCCATATTCTCTAAAGCCTTTGCTTTAACACTTAGTCATTCTCAGTTTTCTCCCCCCACCTTGTTTCTACAGTATTTGATACTGAAGCTTGAAAGACCTGCCATAGTCCAAAGTATCACATTTGGCAAATATGAGAAAACTCACGTTTGTAATTTAAAGAAGTTTAAAGTCTTCGGTGGGATGAATGAAGAAAATATGACAGACCTCTTATCCAGGTAAGAGATGCTTTCATCAAATATGTCAGTGTAAATCAGAGGCTAGACCAAAGCTAGACCAAAATGCACTTATTTTCCTTTGCTCCCAAATGGACGCACAGCTAACTGTGCAATAAAGCTGCAGTAAGCCTGCAAGTAGCTGCTCACGGGGTTCCAGGCCCTATGAAAATGACTGTAATAAGATAAAGGACAGAGTATACATCCCAAAACTTGCTTCGGGAGACCTTCTGTACTTGCTCTACCCCCAAAGGATCTATGAAGAGTGAACTCCTGGGAGCTTTGGAGGAGCTGGGAGCATGGTTTAAAATTCATGGTCTGAGATTTCTTTTTTCTGCCTGTTTTAAGATGCAACTCACATTTGGTCTGCACTGATGGAAGGCTTTAGCATAGCTCTGTAGCAGTATGAATAATAAATGTTTTAGTCTGCCTTGGTACAGAAGCACCATTACAACTGTACAGGTCTGAATTAGTTACCTGCTTTACTCTTTGATGGACAGATCAAAGGGCAGAATACAAAACTCAATTCTTTCTTTTGCTGTAATCTGTTTCTGTGGCCCAGTGATGCACGTTCAATGGAATATAGCCATCTGGCAATTTTTTAGGTTTTTATTTAGAGCTTCTGAATGCTCGTTCAGATACGTTTTTTTTGACAAGAAATGAGCAATCTCTTGCTTCATTGAAAAGGAGTCAGAAAAATGTTTAGGGTGTAGAGTGTAGCCATGCAGAAGGAGCCAGTGTTGATTTGGAGGCTAGAAGGAAGAAGGCCCCTGGTGAGCATTGCTAATCTGTTGAATTGGCATATGTCTGTTGGCTCACTTTCTCAGTTACCCATCCCAATGTGACATGAATCTAGTGTAGATATCGTGCAAAACCATGCAGAGACTTGTAGCCTGTTGGGGGCTGGAAACCAAAGTAACTCTGGGTATGCCAATTTATCAACTTTAAATTGGTGCCACTTCAGTGCTAGAGTGGGGGGATTTGATGCAAGGGAAGTGATGAAATACTGTGTCTTCTTACATACCGCACACACCTTGTTTTGTGAAGGTAGAACACAGAAAAAGATTTTTCCAGACTCTTTCCCGTCACAGCCTTGGCTCTCCATGGCTAAATGCTGACTGCATGCAGACGGGATAGAGTCCCATCGTTAGCATCATTCACCTTCTTGCTGCAGTAGCATGGCTACGGATTTAACCTTTGTCACAGCTGCTGCTGAATTTGGTAGTGGCTGCAACAAGGGTTAAACCTGCAGCTGTGCAATTGTAGTAGGAGGATGAATTATGTTGATCATGGGACTCTACCCCACCCTTTGCATGCATCTTGGAAGTGAGCAGCGCCCCCTGGAGCCATTTCAGCATCCCCATGCCTCCATTTTGGTGCAGAAATCATCTTCCCTGCTGAATACATACAGCCCAGTTTTGGAGGGCTATTTTTTTTTTGGGTGGGGAGGAAGGTGCCTGTGGTATGCAAGTAAATACGGTACTTTACTATCTGCCAGTTCATCCAGCTATGTTCAGATATTCAATTTTTAATGAAAAACATATATTTTTTGGATGCTGTTGCCTTCTTTATACTTTGATAAAACTGGATTCAGTATATTTTAAAAACTGAAACCAAAAGGTAACACTTGGCATCTTGCATAACACTTCATCTGAGAATCAGCAAGCCCAATTAATTCTTGTGAGGTAGTTGTAGCTCCATCTTACAAAAGGGAAGGATGAGGTTGGTTGGTTGGTTTGTTTTAGGAGAAGTTAGCTGTCTGAGTCGTGCAGCGAGTTGAGCACAGAGAAGCAGAATAGCTCTTCTAACTCAGATCCGTCCTCAGACAGACAATGCTGCGTCCCAGGGAGGTAAAATGGTGGCTAGTAATCCAGGCGTTGGTCCAGCATGCATACTTGCAGTTCATAATAAAATGAGACGAGCATCACATTTCAGGCATGACCTAGATTTCGTTTACTAGCTAGTTCTAAAATACGAGGTAAGATTTAGTAACCTTATTTATTTTTTCCCACAGTGGCTTAAAGAATGATTATAACAAAGAAACATTCACCTTGAAGCATAAAATTGATGAACAGATGTTCCCCTGTCGATTCATTAAGATAGGTAAATGCATTTTTTCAGCATTCTGAGTAGAAAATAATCTCCTCTTATACTGGTGCCAGTCTTGGCACTTGTGGCTACGTTGTACTCAGGCAAAGTATCCAAAATAGCTGTTCCATTTCGTGATCTCTAGGCTGGTTAGATTGGAACACAGGGAAGCCCTGTTACCAGGGAATAATAGCTTGATATTTTAAATCCTATGGACTGAAAGCACAGTACAGTGAATTGAAGAAATGCAATTGTCTTAGCCAAGTAATATTGCTGGAGGAGCTATTTATGGTCATATAATAGGTTACTGTGCAAAGCTTTAAAAACAAAACAAAATAAAAACCTCATATGCTGGTAAAAAGTTTCAGCACTGATTTGCCTTGGAGTTTTAAAGAAAATGGTTAGCTTTGTTCCCAAAGCTAGCAGCATGGGTGCCAAACTGCATTGGCCTTTCTTGGCTCTTCCCCACCCCCTTCTCTTGCCTCTTTTGCCTTAACCATGACTATAAAGTAAGTACGTAAGGGCAAGGGGAGTTCAGTCCCCATGATGTACTGAGTCACTCTGGTGAGCCTGCCAAGAGGTATGCCAGTTGTACTGTGGGTTTTTTCTTTTTCATTTTGGGATGCAAGCATGAGTCAACTGGGAAGAAGACTTGAGTTGCTTCCTCCTTTCATGTAGCTGTACCCCACAACACGCCAATTATCACACCACAACACTTGGCCACTGAGCTTGGCTGAACTTCATCTAATGATACGGAGGTTGAAGACTCCAGCTTTACTAACTTTGTGAGCTATCTAGTCCCTCCGGAGCAGTTGAAGAAATACTTGTTTGGTAGTAACTCTTCTTTGATAGGAGAACTAGAAGAGATATTTCAGAAAAAATGGAGGAATGAGGCAGTTTTTTAATTTGCAAAAGTTAAACTTCCAAAGACAGTCTTGGGTGTCTTATGCCCCGCAAGTAGAGTTCCTGCTTCTCTCTCGGCATGATGTGGCTGAGACTGTCTGGATGGAGCTTCTCTTGGAGCCCATTAGAGCCGCTCCTAACCCCCTCCAAGATGTCCCCGCGCCAAGGGAAGTGAATGTTTTGAGAGGGGGGTGGGGAAAGGTGACAGTAACTCCCGTAAAAGTAGAAAATGTCTCATTTGTCATATTCTTTTACAATTTTTCTTGGCAATGCAATCTGCAAAATTTGACTTTGAGATATGTAAACCAGCAGAAGAGTAAATAAAATAAGGTTGAACACCTTGGTAAAGCCATTTTGGCCTTACGTGTGGTTAGACTTAACTATTTTAAGTTGCAGGACCCTGTTACCTTACTTCAGCCTGTGACTGGTCAGTGGATTTGATAGCAAATACCTTTTAATAACCAAAAGGGGTAATATTTGCTTTTAAAAGTGTGTGTGTGTATGAACTGAAATATAAATACGATGTCCTAGTATTGTCATGTTATAAGACACGGTGGCATCTTTAGATGTGTTGGAATGATTTAGTGATGATTTATTGGGTCATGCTTATGTAGTTTTGCTATCAATTTGGAGGCTGTAATAGCCCAGTCACAAATGCAATAAGAGTGTCTACAAATTTTCCAGAGTGTGCATTTGCAGCTGCTTGTGTACTGGATTTATCCTTTTTGGGAGTGGCCACTTTGCATTTTTTAATATTTACCACCATATGTGCTACAGGGTGGTGTTAATAGCTATTGATATCAAACCTGAGAATTTTTACGCTGGGCTATCAGAGGATGCACTTGCACCTTGAATTGTGTGGAGCAGTGCATTTGACAAAATTTAATTAAGATGAACAAAAGACTCTTCCAAATCTGTGTGTGGCATGGGACCCTTGAATGAATGCAGTAGCTAGTATTCTGAATAGTAGAAAATGTTGACTCCAACAGTCTCAATATATCAACAAGGCTTTTCAAAGCAAGTTCAAGGCATCTCATTCCATTTGAGATCTGTCATTCTCAGCCCCTATTTTCTGTAGTCTGCTGATGCTGAAGACCAAGGGCAAGATCCTGTTCCACCTAAGTGCCCAAGTATGAACCTATTCCACCTGGATTGGGTCCCTGAAGAGCAGTGGATACATGAGGTGGATGGGTCCTCCTCCTTTTTTCATTTTTGTGTCTTAAGACTGTGTTATTCCCAAGTCAGAAGGAAAGTAGGGGGAGGTTGGTGCCTTGGAGCCTGACTGGTTCAGGGAGGTGTGAGTTTTGTAGGCCACAGTCTACCTTATTGGGTGCTGTGTTGTTCCCTCTTTTCCCCTGTTACAGTTAAGATGACGGTGTAATAAAAGTAGGTGCGTTAACTGGTTCTGGGGACTTGTGGGCTATTCCAATCCATTGTTGTCTAATGCATGGAATAGGAACTAACCCCAGGTATGAGACATTTTGCTACTTTGGCAACTTCAGATCAAAAATCATTGAGCCACCTTTGACCTATCTGCGTGAAGGGTGGATTATTTTGCCATTCAGAAAATTGCTTTTTTTTTAAAGATCTTTTTATGCTCAAATACATTTACAGTTGGCTTTTACTTTTTAAAATGGAACATTGGATGTGCACATATACTGAATGTGTGCTTTGCTGTGGCTGAAGAAGCTGAACTTGAAAGGCTATAGCGGGGTCAGCAGCGTTTTTGGGCAGAGTGCCAAAAACACTTGTAACCTCAACTTGTAAGATGTTGGCATGGCAGGGGAGCCACGAGTGGCCCAATCTTCGTTGTGGCAGTGCAACCACAGCCCTTTCCCCGAGGCACACGAGTATCAAGCAAAATGCCTTCCCATGCCATGCTCTGGCACGTGTGCTGGGGGTTGCCTACCCCTGGGCTATAGGTATCCAAAATTATGCCTAGAGCATATGCCCTTACATATGCAGCACTTAGGGTCTGATTTTTCCTTTCTTTCCATTCTCCCTCCCTCAACATTTGCACAGAGTATGTTAAGCAGGTATAGCGTGATTGGGATATCTAGCCTCAAAACACTTGAGGTTGCTTTTTTTTTAATCTGGTCTTTAATCTTTCTGATTACTGCTCAACATCTTTTTTGCCCTGGTAATACTTTAAATTTAGCTCTTAGTTCAGTGGTAAATATAATTGATGTCACTGTTACACCATTAGTTCCAACTGGAAATGAGCGCGCTATGGTAGTGTTGCACAGCTTCTGTAAGAAGAAAGTAAATTGTGCTTGTGCTGTTCTGATTTGAAGCTCAGTTTTGCATCCTCTTTATTCCTCCCATCCAAAGTCTGCGCGAGGAAAAACTTGTGCATCAGCTGATTAATTCAAGGACTGATAGTGACTGGAAGGGCATAGCTAGAAGTTATGTGAAGATTACCAATACTGCAATGGGATCCTCACAAATAGCAAGTAAAGATCCTCTGTTTCTGCATTTCCCGCATCAGCCTTTGCACTGTGTTTATTTTTGACATCTGTTCATTAGTTCTGATTTGAGATAGGGCTGTCATTTAAACTCCCTATTTTTAGTACCGTAATTTCTTGAAACTGATCTGGTATGAATTTCTTATGGTTGCAATCTCCCTACCCAATCATGCAGTTAAAAAATAAAAAATCCAAACTACTTGGATGAGGATGTGAAGCCTCAGTGATTTGAGCACTGGTCTTCCCAGGGGGAATTTGGCTAGCACCCTGGGGTCGATGCTTTTATTCTGAAGAGTGCAATAGCAATACTTGCTGCAACTGGTGACATGTAATTATATCATAAAAAATGATGAAATTCTACCTTTGCTCACTAATGTGATGAATGGGACGGGAGTCCTCTTTCTCTGGTATGTCTACACCGTTCAGATAAGCACAGAAGAGGTGGTATATAGCACAGAGTCCTCTGTCTTGTTAATGTGCTGAGTTCTGCGTACCTACACCATTGTTTTATGTGTATTGGATCTGCCTACAGACCTTTTGTTTTAGAGGTAGCACCTGAGATGCCTCAGATTTTATAACAAACATAACTTTTTGTTACCTTTGTTGCTTTTAATTTTTAAAGGAACATTTGTTAAAATTAGTCAAAATAGTTTAGGCCCTTAAGCAGTTTTGTTGTAGCTGTAAAACTAAGAAGCTTGAAAAATAAGAACATGAAATAAGGAAATAACCGGTGCAGTGCTTCACATGTCCTAAGGGGAAGTTTTTTGGGTCAATCCTTTTAAGCTTTCTCTATACTTGTGGGCTTGAGCATAGCATCATGGTTCACTTGCAGCTGCAGCAATTCTCCAGATGAAGAGTACTAGTGAGAGAGATGGTTACCATTTGTTTGGGTTGTGATGGCCCAAGAAGTACCCTAAACGCTCTGTCCAATGACCTTATACCTTGGGTGTTAGAAATGGGGTAGAAGAGAAGAGTAGTCTTATTCTGGGCCTTTTAAAGTAACAGTTTGTCCTTGCTGGTAAGCAAAAGAGGAAATAAAAGTAACCAAATAAAACTGTATTGGTTTCATTGGTTAGAATATTGTATTTGGTGGTTTAAAAACTAGGAAAGGGTGCAACTTACTCCCTGCGGTTTCCAACCTGATACGGCAAATCCGGGAATACAAAATATCCAGTCTAACATCCTGCCCCTTAGCCAACTAACATTTCACTCCAGTAACAGATTTAGAAATAAAGGAGACCGCTGCCATAATCAAGTACTGCCTGTACTCTGCAGATATAACTCAGATCCATGTCAGGGTGTTGCCATTTGACCTACTGTAGTTCGTTTCCACCAGTCTGAACTGTTTAAGTCTGTGGGAGCATATTTCATTCAAAGATTTTGCTGCCTTGGGGTGTAGGCAGGCATAATGATTGTATTGATATCAGAGGCTACTGATTTGGGCTATTACCATGCGACTTATGCCTATGTGGTTCTGTAGCAAACGTAGCAAAACCACTGCAACATTGACCCTTCTTTTTTTGGGGGTCAGGGTTTAGGATGATTTAGGCAGTGTGCACCGCTACAGCAACACAGAGGTAGCAGCTGCTATATGCTTAAAAGAAACATTGCCCCCACCCCCTTTTAACTAAACTGTGTCTGCATCCACTCTTCCCAGTGTAAACTGTTTTCAGTAGCAGTTTAAGGATATTTATCTGGTAGAATGTCTGAACTTAAATAAAAGCAATAACCTAAAGCTTGTACATAAAGAGTTTGTTTTTATTTTTCCTAAAACTAAAATGCATTACCTTAAATTAGGTTTATAGGTCTGAAAAATAAGGCATCGAATGCTTGACGCTTTCTCTTTTTCTCTTTTTCTCTTCCTCCCCCCTACCCCTTGCCCCTTCCCTCCCATCCTCCTCCAGTTCCACTCTTATCATGGGGGCCTAGCTTCAATTTTAGCATCTGGTATGTTGAGCTCAATGGTATTGATGATCCAGATGTGGTCCAGCCCTGTCTCAACTGGTACAGCAAGGTAGGTCTGCATATCAGAGTAATATTTACTTGAATGTCAGGTGCCATTGTCAAAGTGTGCACCATTACTTTTCTGTTCCTTGGGTATCTGCTAGGGAATCATGGGGGAATGGGGGTGGGAATTTGGAGAAACACAAATGAATCCATTTAAAACTGTCTGTCTTAGTTTTTTAATGACTTTTTATTGTGAACAGCTCTGGAGTTTGAGAGCAGAAGCTGCAGTTCTTAAATAATGCTGCCCCCCATGTCCTCCCATTGAGTGATATGTTTATCCTAAGTACAGTTTTTCCAGGGCTTTGTAGATCATCTTTAATGGAATAGAAGTTTACATTTAAGCAGGTCGAGTCCAATGTTGTTTGTCCTTCACAAGTAAACTTTTCCTTACTGTATATTGTGGCATTTGCATGCTGTATAGTAGGAGGGAGATTTCTTGAGCACTTGGGCAGATGCTGTTATATTGCAAATGTTTGGAAAATGTCTGTGCACATGTGTTTGCAAGCTCCTTCAAAATAACTGTTAACAGTCCAAATTAAAATCTGTGGAACTTCCCCTCCCAGCTGCTCCCTTTCTTTTTAGTAGGTTGTGGAAAAGACCGCGCTGCAATCACTACCTGCTTAGTTCAGCCGTAAACCGTGTTGCTCTCTTGGACTGCAAATGGCATTTCAGATCTTATTTTGCCTGACAGACTTTTTTCCCCCTTGTCAGCTCAAAAAGAACATTTTGCCTCCGAAGTGTGATCTTATTTGGCCTAGGGAGATGCATGGCTCTCTTGCTGTGGGAGAGAATAACTTGAGGTGCCCGTAAAATCTGATTGCCCACTTCTGGGCAAGTGCCCTTACTACCAGGCCATGGGGGTAAGCTGTAGTGAGAGTTGCCTTCACCCCTCCTCTTGGAGCTGGGCCACTGGCTGGAAATAATGGGTCCCAAAGGAGAACGAGCAAGGACGAGCCTATCTGAAGCCCAGTAAGGAAGGAGGAAGGGAGCCCTGGGTTCGGGCCTGGTCTGACTGCTGTCTGTGCATTTATCAAATGACTCTTATTAATGCAAAATGCATAATCAGCATTGGGAATAGGGGCCCGAATCTTTTGTCTAAGCCCTTGAGGATTTAGGATGACTCATGTTTTCCAGAATGGAACTAGATCGCACCCAAACATAAATGGAGTTGACCCATCCAGGTGGTTCTGGATGACTTGTGAGCAAGAAGGTGTAGCCCAAGTCTAACTGCCTGGGTCAGAGTGGAGATGCATGAGGAATCTGGATTTGGAAGCGGTTTATGGCTGCTGTGTGTTGTGGAAAAGGATTATACTTGGTAATTAAGGGCATTTTTACATGTGTTGTGGGATGTGGTGCCGGTCCTTTTAATTAGCAAGCTGCACTAATTAAAAGTGCGTGCGTGTCATGCGTATCAGTGTTGCTGTGCTGAAAAAATGATGGGGCGCTTTGAACAAGAGCTCATCAAACATGTTTTATTTCAGAGCGCCCCACTGCCATTTTTTATGCACAGCAACGCGCGGCGACACTGATGCACACGACGTGGAAGGTGGCCGGAGCGCAGCAGTGCTCCAGCAGACTTGGTTAATTGAGTCTGCTCCGATGCAGTGGATTTCCAGTGCGTCGGAGCAGGCCCTGCACATCTGTGTAAGAGCCCTTAAATGACCCAAAGCTGCTTAAATCGCACTTGGGTATCCCGGCCCCAGATCCTGTTCCACCTCTTAAGTTTTCATCTTTCAAAAAAAAAAAAAAAAATGTCTTCCTAAAATTCCTTGTCCAGTCAAATTCCAGTTTCCTCTAGCCCAGTGTTGTAGGTAACAGATTTCAGCAAGGAAGGTTGTGGCACCTTTTTATTTGAAACCCAGGGATGCCTACAGGTGTGTTTCCCATAGTTCGAGCCAGTTGTCACATTTGACCAACAACTGATTAAAGATTAAAACTCCCTAGATTTTGGACCTCTTCAGCTGAAATGGCTTACTCATCAACCATCCCCAGTGCTACACTGGAGACTTCCAGGCCTTTTGCAAAACAGCTTCCAACATGGGAGACAAGTAATCCTCTTTTTTATACGTATATCACGGATTCTGCAGGGCTGTAGATTGGAGCTGAAAGTGCACCAAAAAATAGCAAATGGCAAAAACAGCATGGCTAGTGGCAGTTGAAAGAGTCTGCAGTGCAACTCATTAAGTGGCTGCCATGGTTAAAATGCAGCCTACCCCTGGCTATTGGGTGGGAGGAGAGGCGTTGTTGAAAGAACAACCTCAGAGCACTTACTGACCTTCCTCTGATGCACGTGTGGCTCCTGTTCTTGTTCATGGGCTTGCTAGTGAATAGCAGAACACCTTCAGATTTAAGACAACCCCCTAATAATTAGATTCTGTATATGGAAAATTTATAAATTTGTTATAATTTTCCATGTATAGAATCTAATTATTGGAAGGTTGCCTTAAATTTGTCGTGGCCCCCCCAAGGCTGGGGGTCAGGTGGTGTGGCTTCTGGGTTTGGGTGTGTGGGGGAGGGGCAGTCTGACTCCCACCCTTTTCCCCTTACCTCACCCCGTATCCACCCCTGTCACCACCCGCCACTGACCTGTGCCTCTTGGCATCTTGCCTGCCCCATGCCTGTCCTTCTTCAGTGCCTGTGCCTTTCCTCCTCCCCTCCCCATTTACTGGGGTGAGGAGCCCCATCTTGGAGTTGAATAAATACAGTACTTATTTGAAGTCGACTGCATATTTGACATCATTCTTTTTTGTTAAGTATTAAGAAATTAAGGGAAACCAAGTCTACCACTGTTGATCATTGCCCGTTTGAGCCCGGCTATGCATAATTAGTGCTGTTTTAAAGCACTTGGGAGTTATGGTAGGCTATCCAAAGGAGGATGGGGATGCAGTCTTTGCACAGAAGAATCTTGCAGTCTCAGGAGGCAAGCATTGTATTACAGATTGCAGGCAATGAGATGTTTAATATGCTCCTGGATTTTGCCAACACGAACTTTACTGTGCTGCATTTTCTTTTTTTAAACAAAAAAATTGTTCTTGGGCACATTGCTTTTGTAAATACAAGCAAACAAAATTAGCATCCAACGTTCCCATTAGACTGTGAGCCAGATCTAACAAAATCATTAATTTATTCAATGGAGACTTAGTTTCGTGACTAAAGTAAGAAAGCTTAATGCACTCCAGTCTGGCCTTTATTACGGGTAGGCGGCCGTCCTTTCATTTGCTGCTGTTTGCATTGAGTGGTTTGAACCTTAAAGCCAGGCAGCTTTTACTGTGGTACTAAGCATATTTACTTAAAAATTTTAAATGGTATGCTAACTGTTCAAAATCATGCCCCTCTTTTCATTTGCATATCTAGTGATACTGTGAAACTCTGCCCTTTGCTGTCTTGGCAAACTCTTTTGTCATTCTGACATTTTTATTGGCCCAAGTCCTTGCTTTCTCTTCCAGTTAGCAAAACGCCTGTCACCGAATTTAATACTCCCAGCTTATTAAAAATATCTAATGTCACTGTCCCTTCCAAGTTTCCAAAATGTTTGTCAAATTTTATCTTGCTCTAGGCGTTTTGAAGGAAATGATATTTATGTATAGTTAAACCAATGTTAGCTGCTAAAAAAAGGCTTATTTTAAACATCATCTCCTTTTACCTGTTTTAAAAGAAACAAAAACACTGGTGTATAATCATGATCACGAATAAAAATCTTCCCAATCCAGTTCGATCAAAGTGGGCAACGTATGTTAATGCTAAAGAATTACGGTTGGGTTGTTGTTTTGTGTTTTTTTTTTTAAAGAGCCTATGAGATTTAGGAGTGTAACTTGGAGCTCCAGTTCTGCTGACTTTTAGCTCCTAGAAAATCCCTAACATCCATCCCCTCTAATCTTTTTATCAAATTCATTATTATTTATTACTTTGTTTTTGAGCCTTCTAACTCTCTGTGAGACTCAGACATGTCCAGACCATGGTGTCATAAGCCTGCACAATCAGATAAGAGGTGGGCAGCATTGGTATACCTGAGACATGACATGATGTTGATATTTGAGGCGTGGTGGGATAGTTTTGGCAAGTGCGTTAGGAACTGCTGATATATTTACACAAGACAGCTGAGGGTTTGAGGTTGTGAATTGTCATTCTTTCTGTATCCACTTCCAAGTGGTGGTGGCTGGTGGTTGTTCCCTGTGTATGCTCCTGTTTTCTTACTCCTTCCCTATGCTCCTAGAGAAGCAGTGACCCACTTACTATTCTAAAGTACCTTGTTACATAATTTGATCGTATGACACTTACATAACATTTGAGCGAAGGCTATTTCCTGGCTTCTTTCTGTGTTTTATGCAGACTTGTGCAACAAGGCCAAAGAGGCAAAATGTACCGATAACAATGTTGGAGATTTGGTACTGTGACACTGTTATCACCTCTTGTGCATTTTCATCAAACGAAATGGTGTTAACTAGCAGAAAACTCATAACATGAAATAGTAGGTGCCAGGGAAGTTTGTAGTTTCAGTGGGCGAACCTTGTAAACAGAATGAAGAATTTAACGTCTGCAGTGTAAGCAAAGGAAAAAAATCTACCCTTCTCATAGGTTTTCTTGTGTTCCAGTAGTACCGTGAACAGGAAGCCATTCGCCTTTGTCTAAAGCACTTTCGTCAGCACAACTACACCGAGGCTTTTGAATCGCTGCAGAAGAAAACCAAGATTGCATTGGAGCACCCTATGTTGACAGATCTGCACGACAAACTAGTGCTGAAGGGAGACTTTGATGCTTGTGAAGAACTGATAGAAAAAGCAGTCAATGGTAGGTGAAGCAAGGAGGTACGCTGGCTTGAATCCTGCTGAAATATCAATGTTCCCTTTTGGATAGTAAAATGATGCATAATAATATTAAGCAAGTAGCTGTTAAATATTTAAAATGCATTGCCTTATCAACCTTTTTGTTTTAAATGTAAGTGTGCTCTACGTGAGGAAGGTTAAAGTTGTCAACCTTGACATCTTCCTTATTACCATTGCTTTGGGGAACCTCAGGGGTGTACAAAATGCTTCACTAGGTCTCTGATCCAAAAAGCTGACTTGGCAAAGTCAAATGTAATGCTCAGGGAACACCATAGAGAAGATGAGGTGATTTAGGGAAGTACTAAGACAAGACTTCAGTAAGATTATGCAATTATCCAAAAATTGTATGTTATCCATGGCTTTTGTTTTAAATTCACTTCTAAAATATTGTGTGCCCCCCCCACCCCATGTGTTGTACAAAAAAAAAAAAAAAAAAAAGTTGGAAAAGAGAAACTATATGACTTTTTTTCCCATG